ACTTAAAAAAAAAAAAAAAAAAAAAAAATAAATTAAATTTCCACAAGCACAAAATAAACACGAACAATATAATATGACATTTATCTAGCATCAGAACTGATAAAAGAAAACAACAACATATCTAAATAATGATACCAATTAAATTAAAGATAAATGGATCCAAGTATCCAAAATTCACAACAACATAAATTGAAATTTCAGTTGAGCAGAACTAGAAAAAACACATAATCAACTCTTTTGGTTGAGGAGCATCAACAAACACGTAAGAAAAATCATAATCATGCTCCACATCATATTTTTGTTCCTTCTCCTTCTCACCCTCGTCGACAACACTCATATGTCGCTTTCCACGACGATCAAAACTCTCTGTCAAACGTGCTAAATTAAATTTAAGTTTATAAAAAAATATTATAATAGAAAACGTACTCTCAAAGAAGAGAAAAACTTACATCAGGAGCCTTGATCCAAAACTGCATCATGACTCCAATCATAATGTGTCACGTGTACGGTCCTACCCTACTAAATACACAAAACTAAATGGTTTAATACATTGCGGGGCCGGACCGTACACTTTGTGCATTGTGGTAGAGTCCTGATACAGTTTTTATATCAAGACTACTCATGTAATATTTTTTTCCTAAGAAGAACCTTTACATTTGTATATATTTCAAGGCCAAGCAAAAACCTAAATATTGATCATCGAATAAACAAGTAAAAACCTAAATATTGATCATTGAATAATAATATCTTCAAAATATAATTTTTACATCATCATAGTAATATTATTATTACATAAAATAAATATTACTTCTTAGCAAAACAATCAAAATCATAAATTTTACAAATATCTCCTCTAAAAAAAAGGGAAGAGGTGGGCAACATTTACTTACATACATACCATATTATTCTTATGTATTTACATATCAAATATCTAAATTTTTATATTTACATACTGACGAACCAAACTCGTGATATCGCATAAAAAATACGACCGCTATTAATAAAAGTGAAAAAACACATTTTCATGCATGATGTATAATAATATGATAACAAAGTATGATGTATATAAGTGACAATTACAAACATATCACAATTTTATGTATTTACATAGCTACCCCTCATCATTCATATTTACATTCATATAACACAGATAGTTAAAATCACATAAAAAATATCATCAAGAGTTTTAGTATTTTCATGCATATGTTTGCATCAAATTTCGGGTTTAATATCTAAATATCTAGAATTATGTGGGATGTGCATAAATTTCTCTAAATCTAAATATCAAATTTGGCTATAATCATTATTAAATAATTAATTAAATCATGACACTATTTAAAAGCCCCAAAAAAGCCCAACTGTTTGTTCCGATAATCAGAGTTTGTACAGATCGCTTCCTCCGATTTCTCCTTCGGCCGATCGTAGCCATGCTTTCCGGCGATATTCCTCCGAGTCAGACCATCTATATAAGAAATCTCAACGAGAAGGTGAAGAAAGAAGGTATCATCCCATTCCTTCTACATAAGAAGCAATTAGGGTTTAGGGTTTTCTTTTGTTTTCGTCCAATATGAGTAGTTTTTGCTAGTGCGAACTACTCTCGAGCTCTCTGAGTCCCTAATTTGGGTTTGGTATCGTATTTATCTCTTTTTAATCATGAGTAGTTTGCTTGGCAGTTACTAGGGCTTGTATTAGCTCTATCTTTTTCATGGACTTCTAGAACAACTGCATCTCTTGTCTTCTTCTTCTTCGAAGGAGTTTTTAAATTTATTTTCAGATGTTCATGAATTGAATTGACGGTTAGATCTGGGGTTTGAAATATTGTTACAAATGTAATTTGAAATATTGTTACAAATGTATTACGAAGTTTGTATGGATAAATTTGATCGGCCTCCCTGAGTTAAAGAGTAATGATAATTTTCTCTAGATTGATCACTTTTTTTCTTAAAACTATTTTTGCAGAGTTGAAGAGATCAATTTATGATCTATTTTCCCAGTTTGGAAGGATTTTGGATGTTGTGGCCTTGAAAACCGAGAGACTCCGAGGTCAAGCATGGGTGGTGTTTAGCGAAGTTACTGCTGCTAGTAATGCAGTTCGGCAAATGCAGAGCTTTCCGTTCTATGATAAACCTATGGTGTGCTCCTCTGAATCCATTTTTTTAAATAACAGTATTATTCTGAAAGATTTACGTACCTACCAATTTATTCTTATTTTTTTACATATAAACTTCAACTTTTACATATATGCCACCCTACCTATGCATGTAAAGGTGTATTTTACCCTTAAACTTCAATACTTTGCATTGCTTTGTGGAAATATATTTGGCATTATGGGAAGACATTGTAGGTGTTCCATGGTTTTAGCATTCGTGAGCTTTACTGCAAAGTACTCCATTTTACAACTGAAGTACTGAAATCTTTAGTTATGCTACAAAAGTGATATACATTGTATGAATAAAGTTTTATTTGGGGTTTTATTCTGGTTTACATTCAACGAGTTGTAAATTATTGATTTGATAGGTATAATTTTGTTTAGAGTTTATAAATTGTAACAGTTTATAATGATTTTTTATAATAAAGGAATTAATTTTTTTTTTTTAATGTTAAGACCTTCGCCGTTTTTATTTGTGTTTATCACTGTTTTTATAATTCATTTTAACGTTTTCACAATCAGCATCGAATGCTCTCACTGAAAATGAAGAAATGAAGCATTTTCTTTGTCAAATAATGCCATTATTATGCTATTAAAAATTTGCTAGTCATGTTTTTTTGAGTGCTAATGTTTGCATGCACGCTTGAGATTTTGGTCTTAATTGACACAGTTTACTTTCTTTAGAGGATACAATATGCAAAAACAAAGTCTGATTGTGTTGCAAAAGCAGATGGGACTTATGTTCCTAGAGAGAAGAAGAAGAAACAAGAAGAGAAAGGTGATTTTCAGAATTTTATTATGATGAATTATTACAGGATTGCTAAGATTATGCGAAGTTTTGTAAATAAAATCATTACCTTCTGTTTTAAAACTTTTTTTTATTGAAAATGAGCATGGGAACTTTTACATTGCCTCACTTTAACTCAAGCAGTTTCTTGTTCCTTCTCTACTCTAAGGAACAATATTTTTGATTCATAACATTTAAGAAGATTTATTCTATAGATTTTTTATTTTTTGTATCTTTTTTTTCTTTCATATGGTTTTATTAGGCAAATAAAGATGCTTTTTAAAAGAATGAAAATTAGAAATAATGCTAGAACTTGCATATTTGTGATGTAGTTATAAGCAAGCAAAGAAACATGCATTGTTGATTTGTAGGCTAGAACGTGCCTTAAGAGTGAAAGGGGAATATGGCATGAACTCTTAAGCCTAGAATGTGCCTTGTCCATGAAATGGAGCGACCTCATGTTCTTTTACTCTATTTAATAATTTTCCCAGTTATCAGTTTTGGGCAGCTTTAGTCCTAGGCTCATTGGAAAGGAAGGACCGGTGAAAACCCGTTTATGGATGAAGAATATCAGTTCATTCATAAGGAATCTCTATATCCACTACAATGAGGACATAAGAACGGTGGCATTCCAAAATGCTATTTATAATTTGTGAAATCCTTTTTTGAATGATTCTATGTCTGTGTGGATATCTTTACTTTTGATATCATTTTCTCTATATGATACATACCACCCATTCATCTTACCTAGATTCCTTACATTTTTGCTTTTAGAAGAGCCTAATAAATAGAATCTTTTGTTATTTTATAGATTGATTGAAACAAATGAGAAATTCAAGAATTTGGTGATTTTAGTGGAATCAAGTTTGTAAGTAATAGAATGAAGCTATGCTAAAGGGCAATGGAACTTAGGATTAATTTAGTTTTATGCTAAGAAGATCAATGTGATTAATGGAAGTGTATTGAAAACAAAGAAATGATCTTTATATAATTCCTTTATTGATGTTGATGAGGCATATGCTTGAGTGCCAAGAGAACTGATTAGTATGTGCTGATAAGAAAATATATATTTTAAATTTAATTTGTACTTGTTAAAGATGTGTATTATGGAGCATTGACTAGTATTAACAGTTTGTCTTGTGTGACCAACTACTTTTGGATCATAGTAGGATTGCATTAATGATCAAACATTTTCTTTCTGTATTGCTTATGGATGTTTTTAAATCTTTTTCTGTATGAGGAACCTAAATCTTTGCTGTTTGTTAATGAAATAATTCTAATGAGTGAGAATTCAATTTGAAATGATTGAAAGCTGTAGTATTAAATAGAATTACAGGTTGTTCAAATTAAGTAAGTACCCAACCACATTAATGATACACATCTTGTAATGGATCGAAGCTTACAAAAAATATTCAAGATTAAGTTACGTCAATGTATCCTATCTACAAATGAAATAATCCTACAAGTGAGATATCTATTAAAACAAGTGTAATTTATGATCAGTGAAGGAGTGTTTTTTGAAGGTAAGAAGCTTTGTATGGATGGAAAAAATATCACATATGTGATAGAAGTATTAAATGGCATGAAATTGACAATTATTAATCAATATTGCTAGAAGATCAAGTGATGCCTAGGTATGCTAGCGTACAAAGGATGATTTCTTAATGATTTAATTTTTATAGCTGAAGTTTGATGGTTAAAATGCAGAAATGCTTTATGATTGCTATATATGATTAGAGAAGAGCATACATGCAAAGTGAAAATTTTAAAACTACAATTAAGCTAGTTTTACTATGTAAGCCCAAGTGTTAGGCGATAAAGAAGACTTTGATAACTAAGTTGTGTTTATGAGAAATAAAAATATTGAGATTGATGTGCGTTAAAAGAAGGGTAGACTAAGAATGATTTTGTTTGAGTTTGTGAGAGTAACATCTATTATGGAGAAAATCTTAGAAATTAGAATAATGGTGGATTGGACTGAGTTTGAGTTTTCTAGTATGTCAAATTGTGATATCAAATCAAGTGGCCCTATGGTTGAAGTTTTTTAAATTTTATAGGGGCATATTAAAGTTGATTAGAGCGACACCGGTTAGGATCCTACGGTTCTCTCGTTCTGACACCACTATTTTCTATTGGATTCACTTAGTCCAAATGAACTTACTAAACTCAACTTAATGAGTTTCATAATTTTATTTAGACTGTGGGAAGCCTCGTTAGCAACGAGTGGATGCTCCAATAAGAATTTGTGGATGAAATTGATGTTGAGGGTTAGGAAAAGAAAAGTGTTTGAACAAATATTTATGATTAGAAATTATATTATAAGATTGTGTGCATGTAGTTATTTAATCATGAAAAACTCGACAAAGGGTATGGAGATAAAAATGTTGACCCAAATTGTATGGATAACTAAAAGTAATTTTGTATGCCGAATATGATTATGGAGCTAAAATTATAATTTGACTTATTTTTAATCTAGATTTTGAGAAGCATCTATTATTGTCAAATTTATGATAGGCTTTTGGATAAAAAAAGGAGAATTACAATACTCAAGTTACTTGTATTAGATATATTAATTATTTCATTGAACCGACCTAATCTCAATTAAATTATGTTTCTTTATAGTAAAAGATATGACGAGTTCAACGAGGTTAGGCTTTTTTTGTAATAGGAAATGTGGAAACAATTCAATAATATTGGAATACGCAACCAATGGTCTTGTTAATCGATAAAAATATTTATATAAGGCCTGTTTTGGGAAGTTGTAGTTTATTAAAAACAGCTGTAAAACTGTTGAAGAATAATCTGATGTTAAAAAAAGTACGATGGCTATTACAATTTTTTGTTTTTTTTGTTGAAAACGTCACGCCGCAACTAGAAAGTTGCCACCACACCTAAGTCAGGACCAGTGGAAAAACACATATTTCAGCGGCAGATTTTTGAAAAAGACGTCAAAACGCAGTTTACCCAAACAGACAAAATTGTACCGCATCGCCACCGCACTGCCACCCCAAACAGACTCTAAAGCATGTTTTATGGTGTTTTATATGAATTATCTTTGGCTTTAATTTTTTATACTTGTACTTTTTTTCATAAGTTGTTTCTTTTTAGAGCCACCTGAGTAGAATACTTGATCCATGATTTAGTTCTTGTTCTGATAGAAAAAAAATGAAATACTAATGTAGAAATGGTCTTTTTTGTTCCTTTAACAAACCAAACCATACTTGATCCAAGACTTAGTTCTTGTTCCGCTAGAAAAAAATGAGTTACGAATATACAAATGGTTCTTTTTTTTCCGTTAACAAACCAAACCCTATTTTTGCACCAGGGTGTATGGTGTCCTTGGACACCCATACACCTATCAAGCATGTTCCATGGGTATAAACATGTCAGACTATATGGAAGATTGTTAAGTGTATGAATGGTGCCCTAGCTCAATAACTGGCTGTCATTGTTCAAACTTCAGAGAGCTTGAGAGATTGTGCTAGAGGCATGTTATTCTTTTTTTATTTTTGTGGGTATGTTTGTTCTTGTTCCAATAGAGAAAAATGAAATACAAGCATATAAGTGGTTCTTTTGTTCGCTTAACAAACCAAACCCTACTTTTGCACTAGGTTTTTTGGTGTCCTTGGATGATCCATACACCTATCCAGCAAAATCCATGGGTGTAAACATGTCAGACTATATGGCAGATTGTAAGTGTATGAACGGTGCCCTAGCTGAAAACTGGCTGTCATTGTTAAGACTAGCGACCTCTAGAGATCATTCTAGAGGCACATTTTTCTGTTTTTATTTGTGTGCGTGTGTTTAGAGCTAGGTTGGGCGGAGGGTTTATAATTAAGCTAAGGATGTTATAAGAGAGAACAATGGAACTTAGCTTAGAAAAAATTATTATTGAAAATCTATGTGGTTTTTCACCAAGAAGATTAAGAGATTAATGGAAGAGTATCGCAAGCCAACAAACGAACTTCATATGTTTCTTTTATCGATATTGATGATGCATAGGATTGAGTGCCGAGAGAATTGATTGGTGTATGTTTATAAGAAAATATATAGTTCAGAACGAGTGGCACAAGCACATATTCCTCATTAATAAGGATGAATGGGACGTGTATATCAACCATACCCACGATGAGCGGGAGTAGTAGTCTTCGGACCCTGCGTAGAGCGGATCAACGGGAGACAGTAAGAGAAAGTTGACGCTCAACAATCAGAAGAGTTTGAGGTCACTACCTCCAATTTCACTGCTCACCTCAAGCTTTCCTTCAGGAACAGTTTTTTTTCTTTCTGAAGCCTTTTGCACTTTTCCTGATAATTACTCTATCTGGTGAGTCTTTTCTTTGCATTTTGGAATCTTTCTATTTTCTTTGAGTTGAAAACTCTCCACTGATGTTTGAGCTCGAGTGTATTTTGTTACTAAAGCTGTTTATGATGGAGCATTATTAGTACTTTATATTTGTTGAAGTCCTGTATGATGGAATATTGAATAGCAATATAAGTGTTTTTTAGAGTGATTAAACGAGTTTTCATTCATATTTGGATTGCATTTATGGTCCAACATTATTTTTTGTATTTGTTATAGATATATTTTCAAATGTTGTTCAAAATGAGGTATCTTAACATTATTTATTTGCAGATGAAGTAATTCCAATAAATGAAAACTCTATTTAAATAATTGAAGAGCTTAAGCATTGAGTAGCGTTAAAAGTAGTTCAAAGTGAAAAATGAGTTCGCCAACATGTTAAGGGTATACATCTTGCTTTTCTGAATAGATTTTTACATAAATTATTCAAGATGATAATTCTCGATCTGTCTTATTTATAGATTAAATAATTCTGTTAAATGAAATCTCTACTATAATGGTGAAAAGTAGAAGCAATGGAGAATTTTTTAGAAGATAATAGGTTGGATAATAAAAAACGGTTACGTATGTGATGAGAAGTTCTAAGTGGTATGAAGTTGAGGTTTATCAATTAATATCATTCGAAGATCAA